GACGGTCTCCAACGATTTTCTTCGTTCTTACAGTAGGTTCTTCTTTGTATCGTGTGATTTTACTAGTTTTGTTGTGTTATTTTGTTGTTTTTTTTTTTTTTTTTTTTTTTGAGTTTTGCTACTTTTTTTGGGTTAGGGTACTCTTTTTCCTTCTTAGGGGTTTTGTCCTAACGGGTTTTTCCCTAAGAAGGTTTTAACGAGGCCCAAATAATTATAATGCAATTTTTCTGTAAACTCGTTTTATTGTAATGAATCTACGACGAAAATTATACGTTTCATTATTTTAGTGTACGTTTAGAGAAAATTAATTAAATTCCTTAACTGAGGGCACATTTTTTATTTTTCGCCCAGGGCCTTCAAATCGTCCGGACCGGCCCTGTCTGCAGTACCTCGACGTGACATACGCGTGAAATGGGTTTTACAATTACGTATGTTAATTGAAGTAAATCGAAATGTACCTAATTATATATACGTAAAATATAGACATACAATTGGGGGAAAAAAAGAAATAAAATAAATAAATAAAGAAATGCACGTTGGCCAAAGACTCGTGTAGTTTCATCAAACAACAACTTATAGGCTTTTTAGGGAGTGGGTTAGATAAAGTCGCATTTCAACAAAAACAAATTTAATAAATACTAAATACATTTAAAAAAAAAAGAACAAAAAAAGTATTCGTAATTGTGTTTGAATTTAAAATGTAGAATGTAAATAAGTCGAATTCGATCCATGCTCGTAATTGAGTTTGAATCTGAGTTCGAGTTCGAGCAAATTTTCAATTACATTTGTTTTAAGCTTTGATTATAATATAACTGCTGCAGTCTTTGATCTCAAGGTCGATTTTTTTTTTAGTATGAATTCTATACTTTTAATTAATAAATAATTAATTACAGTTCATGCGTAAACTCGTGAACTTAGCGTGATTCATCAGAAGTTTGAGCTACTAAACTCGAATTCAAGCTTTTATTGAACGGTCTTTTTCACTAACAGCTTAAATGCGACGAACTATATATTCCAAATCGAAGACAACTTAGCATACATCATCTATTTTTTCTTTTTTTACTTTATTCTTACAATCATTTACATTTTTCCATTATTTCTCCCACTAATACACTATTATACACTCTATTGGTGCTCACAAGCACACAATGCAAAAATTTATTCATAATTATTTTGTTTGATTATTTTGATGGACAATATAAAGAAATATTTAATTTGTATGGTTACAATTAAGAGGTGTATGCATATATACATTTGTTTCTCAAGTTTTAGAAATTTAAATCATGTGAAATTAAAGTAGGGGAAGGTTTGATTCGATCGTATACATTGACCTAGTAATAGTACTCAAGGTAATGTACCGATTCTCCTGACGAGGGTTTGTTCGTATCCGAAGAGAATATGTTGGATTTAATATATATCCAAAGATTGATTTTTTTTCAAACAATTTTTTCCTTTTCTTTTTCTTATTAAATTCCGAAATTCAAGAATAGTTAAAAATAAAGGGGAATTGTTTTTAGTTTAGTAACTCTCGCAATGCTCACATTTGCAGTATTAAAAAACTCAATAAATGTGAATTGATTTTAATAAAATCACATAAAAAAGACTAAAATAGGATAAATTTTAAGTGGGGGTATTATTGAAATGCATTAGTGTGTTAATGACTAATATATATATATAAAGAAAAGCTAAAGCCATCTCTATTATTATTTTCAAGTGGTTGCTTTTTGAGACATTGATAGGGACTCATATCAATTAAAAATATTTTTTTTTAAGAATCAAAAAGTCAATTAACAGTTAAATTACTGTCTCCGACAGTTAAATAACTGATGGAGACAGTAATTTAGCAACGAATACAGTAATATTAATTATAATATTTTTGAAGAAAAAAAAAAGTCAATTAACAGTTAGATTACTGTCTCCGCAGTTAAATAACTGCCGGAGACAGTAATTTAGCAGCCAAGACAGTAATATTAATTAAAATATTTTTTTTAAGAAAAAACAAAATTATAAAAAAAAAAAAAAAAAAAAAATCAACGCCGGAGACCCAGCGGTCAACGGCAGTTGACCGGCCGGAAAAAAATTTCAAAAAAAAAAAAAAAAGGAAAAAAGTCAACGCCGGAGACCGGCGGTCTCCGGTGGTGGCGGGTCAAAATTGAAATTAGGGTTAAAATTGGTTAATTGATGAAATTGGGCTAAATGGGGGTGTAAATCATGAAATTGGAGTTAAACTGGGTTTCAATGAATTGGGGTTAATTTTGGTATATATAAAAGGATTTTCCTTATTTGCAAATAAGTTTGAATGAGCTGGATTTATTTGAAAGACAGAAAAGTTGGATATCCCTCTTTTAATTAAGTGCCTTTGTCATGGGCCTATTTGCCATTACCCCCTCAAAGAATGGTTTACTATGTAGATGGAAAAAAGAAGTTGCCGCTAAAGCAAAAAACATAAACAATACAACCATCGTCGCAATCAAACGGGTGTGTCGCCGAAAAATAAATGCCAAGATGCATTCAATGCGATAGTATAGCAAGAAGAGAGAGAGAGAGATCATAAAGTAAGGTTTGAGAATGAGACGGAACTAAAATACTTCTAGTAGACAGTTTTGGGTCAATCAATGAAACTTAATGGCCAAGATCAAATAATTCGATCACAAAAATTATATTTTAGTCTAATATAATAGTGTATGTATATAAGTTTATTTGACCGGTTGATTGGTCAATGAGTCAAATCAGATTTAGATTATTTTTATCTTTAGAGTAAAAGTTTAGGAAATGTGTAATATATCCTACAAATACGAAATAAAATGAATATGTTTTTAATAAAAAAACAATTGAGATTGAAAATTGCAATGGACAATTTATTTTGTAGCTCCTTTGAAAGAGACTATGAGAATCCAAGCAAGAGCAAGAAACTTGGCTTTGTCTAGGTCCAAACATACAAAAGACTTTTCTATGCAAGCAAAAATTAAAACATAGTGTTTTAGACAATAAGATTATTAATTTATATTTATGTTTCCAATTTCCGTAGATTTCGATTCGTAAGTTTTTGATTAAGGAATAATATTTTCATTCTGAATCCAAAAAACCTCTGATCACGAAAGTTTCATATATTTTTTAGATCGAAAACGAGTTAGTGAATTATACATGAGATTCCAATTTCTGGTTCGATTTTAATATTCAAAAATTCCAATCTTGTTTTCCTCGAAAATTTCACTTATAATAACAAAATATTATTATGCATCTTATATACAAAGAATTGGATTACATAGGAAATTCCAATTTATGATTCGATTTTAATACACATAAATTTCGATTTTGTTTTCCCCGAAAATTGCACCTACAATTAGGTTGGGACTGGGTTGGTTTTATCCACCAACCGACTCATTATCGACTATATTTTTAGGTGGATAATCTATTTTTAATCGACCCATTGGATCGGATCGAAAATTTCAACCAACCCATCTATAATGGGTCGGTTGGTGGTTTCCAATGTTATCAAAAGTTGGTTGACCGATAACTATCGGACATCCAACTATATTATTAAAATTTTATTAAAAATATAAAATAAAGGCCATGTTTTCTTAAGTGGTTATTGAAATTATCAAAATAATTAGTATTTTAAATTTTAAAAACAATCAACAAAGGAAAAAAAATTGACCTAAATCTTCCACCTGTTTTTTTATGCCCAAACTTAAACAAAAAGCCCACAAAAGTCCACTAAATTTCTTGTGCATGTTTGAAATTACTTTGAATTTTCTAATTATATTTTTTCGTTAAATTGTTATTAATTATTTTGAACTGATAAATGATGATCATACGGTGGCATTACGCAGAATATGGATATTTCTACTCCAAAACTCGAAATTTTTTAAATAAACTAGGTTGCGGGTATAAACCATCAACTGACTCATTACGGAACCAAATATTCGGTTGCCAACCATCAACCGACCCACAAAGGTTAGGTCGTCAACGATTTCCAAATTTGAGCAGAAATAGGTTGACGGATAGATCGGTTTTTAGGCTGGTAATCGACCGACCCCCCTACCTATAATAACAATATTATTATGTACTCCATCTGTTTCACAATATGGGTCTCTTTTGAAGATTTTTTTTTTGTTTCATACTATCCGTCGCTTTACAATTCCAATGTTGCATTAATTACATATTTTTCAATTATACCCTTATTAAACTCTTCAACACTCTTTCTGCATTAATTAGCAAACAAGAGTATTTTGATCTATATATATCTATTTTCCTAAAATCAAGACATATTTATTGAGATTCTTAAGACTCGCGGAAACGAAAAGAGTATTTTATATACTAGGTGACTAATAAATTGAAAATTTCAAATTTTGTCGATTTCGATCCACATTAAAAAAAAATTCGAATCAAAATTAAAATTAGTGTTTTCACTTACGAAATTATTAATTTCGATCTGATCCTTCCAATTTCTAGACGTTTCCACATCTATATTAACTCATAAAAGACTTTTATTATGGTAGTCTTAATTATGTAGTAGTGGCCCCCACCCACACCACTTCCAAGACTATGTGAATTCCAAACAGTGGGAATTTGATAAACAAAATTCAACTCTACCAAAAGTCTCAAAAATGCTTTCTTTTCGTCTTTCTTTATTTAAATTAAATTTAATATCATAGAAATCATCAAACTCTTAAAATTAAATTAAAATATAGTTGCTACTGCTGCTGCAGCATTTAGGGCTCTGAAAGAGAAGATTCATGCTGCTGCAATTATAATATTTAATGCCCTCACACCAAAACCACCTACTCCATTTCTTCAATTCTTGATTAAATTAAAATCAAGAAACCCCCCCCAAAAAAAACCCTAATTATTATTTGGTGGGAGATGAAGAATGGGGTTCTTGTGGGAGCTTCCTGCTGTGGGCTTTCGCCACCAAGAAAAGGTCCTTTCTTTAATCATTTCATATATTTTCCCTTTTTTTTTCTTTTTTTTTTTGGTTTTTATAAATCTACATTTTTTTAGTTTTTTAATAATATATTTAATTTCCTGTTGTTTTCACTTTGATGATGGTATGATGGACTGCTTCTTTTTTTCTCCTCTTCTCCTTTTTACCTGTCGGAAAGTTGCTTTCTTTTGACTTTTATTTCTTGGGTTTTTTGTCTGGTGCTAAGTAAATTGCTTTCTGCTGTGAATTTTTTACTTGAATTTTTTTTTTCATTTGTGGTTCTCAATTTTGTTTTCTTGGATGAAATTTGAGGTTCTTTGAACTGGGTTTTGGGGATATTTTGTTCTAAGAGAGGTAATTGTTAATTTTTTATTATGTTTAATTGATGCATTTTTGTTGGTTGGTGTGTGGGACTTTTGTCTCGTTTATTGTTCGAATTTTTTCGGTTAAGTCTTGAATGGAAAAGTGATCACTATTTATGATGCCCATGTTCAATTGTCTGCTGAGTTAATTGCTTTCTGCTGTGAATTTGTCGTTTGTAGTTCTCAATTTCGTTTTCTTCGATGAAATTTGAGATTCTTTGAACTGGGTTTTGGGGATTTTGTCCTAAAAGAGGTAATTTGTTAGTGTCTTTTTTTACTTGAATTATGTCTAAATGTATGTTTAATTGATGTATTTTCGTTGGTTGGTGTGTGGGACTTGTATTTCGTTTATTGTTCGAATTTTCGGTTAATGTCTTGAATGAAAAAAGCGATCGATATTTATGATGCCCATGTTCAATTGTCTTCCTTTCGTTCACTATTTCCTCTTGTTTTAAAAAAAAATTAAAATCGAAGTTTTTTCGATTTTGATTTAGGTGGGCAAGAATTGTGATGAGAAGTGATGAACATTAAATACTGGCTGCACAAACAAAAATCGAAATTGAGGAAGATGATGAAATGTATCTGCTCGGGCGAGCACTTGGGAAAAGATGAAGTAATTCACTCTTCGGAGTCGTTGGCCACTCGGGATTATTCGGCGAGTGGATATTCCTCTCGAGCAGGTGAAACTGAAAAAGCCGACACGAGTAATATAGAAGAGGCGGAATCTTCTCTTCGAGAGAGTGGCTTTTTGAATTACGAGGTTCGTTCGATTATTTCTCTCTTTTTGAATATTGTTGAATTAATAGACTTTAAGTGTATGATTTGTAAAAAAATATACGTATAATAAAATATTCAAAGAAACGGTAAATGAATTTTGTTTAAAAAAATATGATTATCTAACTTATAGGAAGCAAGGGCATTATTGGGAAGACTCGAATATCAAAAGGGGAATGTGGAAGCTGCTCTTCGTGTTTTCGAAGGAATCGATACTGCAGCGGTTATTCCAAGAATAAAAATAACTATAGTTAGAAGATGCGAGATTTCGAGACGTCACTCTCAAAGTGAAAATACTCCACCGATGTCGATGCATGCCGTTAGTTTGCTTGTCGAAGCTATTTTTCTCAAAGCAAAATCGTTACAAGCCCTTGGTAGATATTCAGGTACTTTAAAATGTCTCTCGCTTATATACATAATAGCTTATATACATAATGTGTGTGTGTGTGTGTGTGTGTGTGTGTAATTTAGCATTTTTTCGTGGGGGTGGAAACTGAAACAGAAATTCTGGATTTTGCCGATTTAGATAAAAAAAAATTCCAATTTTGAAACGAGATTTTTCTTTCCGCATTCCGAGAGTTCCTATTTCTGATTTTTTTTTTTCCGATTTTTATGGAATTGGAATGCATGTTAAATTTCGATTTTCGATCTGATTTTAATTTCCGAAAATTCTGTCTGTTTTCAAAAAATTAAACTTATAATATCAATATTATTATGCATTTCGTATTATAGGTGACCAAAAAATTGGAATTTCCTAATTCCTCTGATTGCGGAACAAATTTTTTCATTCCAATTTCCGAAAGTTCTGATTATCATTTTTTTCAATATGTTTTGGAGCTGAATTAGAATGCATGTTAGATTCTGATTTCCGATCGGATATTAATTTTTAAAAATTCCATCTTTTTTTCCAAAAGAAAAGAAATGGAATTTCCTAATTCCGTCAATTGCGGAACAAGTTTTTTCATTCCAATTTCCGAAAGTTTCGAAAAATGGAATTTCCTAATTCCGTCAATTGCGCAATTTCTCCGAAAGCGCTAATTTCAATCCTATCAGTTTGATTACCACCCCTACTTTCACTATATATATTATATATAATATTTATCAATTTTTTCGATTGTAATTTTTGCAGAAGCAGCTCAATCATGCAAGGCAATATTGGAAACATTCGAAACCGCAATACCCAACGGGCTCCCCGAAAACTTCACCTCCGAATATAAACTCCTCGAAACCCTAAACAAAGCAGTCGAACTACTCCCCGAGCTATACAAACTCTCGCACTCCCCTCAAGAAGCAATCTCATCCTACAGGCGAGCCCTACTCTACAAATGGATCCTCGAAATCGAAACTCGAACCAAAATTGAAAAAGACTTTGCGATATTCCTCCTCTACAGCGGCAACGAGGCGGCACCACCCGACCTCCGCTCGCAAATCGAGGGCAATTTTGTTCCGAAAAACAACGTGGAGGAAGCTGTGCTCCTTCTGCTGCTTGTGTTGAAGAAAATTGTGCTCGAGAGAGTTGAGTGGGACCCATCTGTATTGGACCACCTGGCGTTTGCGCTGTCGACAGGTGGCGAGTGCAAATCGCTCGCTCGTCAGATCGAGGATTTGCCGCAAGGTACAGTCGGGAGTAGAGAAAAGTACAATTCTTTAGCTCTTTGCTACCATGCGGAAGGCGACGATGTAATCGCGTTGAATTTATTGAGGAATTTCTTGAATAATCGAGAGAATAATAACCGTGACTGCGATTTCGAATTATTGCTTGCTTCGAAGATTTGTACAGAACGAGATTATTCAGAAGAAGCGACGAGGTATATACACAAACTTCTTGCTAACAACGAGTGGGAAAAATCGGAAAAATGCCAAGAAAGAGTGAGTTATGCGAACTACTTGCTAGGTTTATCACACTCGGCTCGATCGAGGGCCGTCGGATCAGATTCCGAGAGAATATTGAATCAATCCGAGGCGTTGAAATATCTCGAGAATGCTCGAAGAATGACAAAGGGGAAATATTCGAGGGTGCTTTATTCTCTAAGTCTTGAAAATGCCGAGCAGAGGAAACTCGAAGATGCGCTTTATTATGCGAAGGAGCTTTTGAGATTGGAAGGCGGTTCGAGTGTGGAAGGGTGGATTCTCTTGGCTCGTATTTTGTCGGCTCAAAAGAGGTATTTAGATGCTGAGAATATAATAGATGCTGCTTTGGAAGAATCGGGGAAATGGGAACAAGGGGAGTTGTTGAGAATGAAAGCGAAGCTGCAGATTGTGCAGGGGTGTTTAATTGATGCGGTCGAAACGTACACGAAGATTCTCGCGGTTGTTCAAGTTCGAAGAAAGAGTTTCGGTGGGGTCCACGAAAATCTCTTCAAAGTATGTGCTACATATATTATTGGAGTTTATTGCAATTAGTACCCTTGTGTTTTATCGAATTGCTAAAAGACTACCCCCATGTTATTTTTATTGGCAAAAACCCTTCTATGATTTAATTTTTTTTAGCAATTAGTATCCATGTTTAGGGGGTCGTGTGCTAAAAAAAATGAAACACAGAGGGTTTTTGCAAATAAAATAACATCGGGTAGTTTTTTAGGAATTCAATATAACACTGGGTACTAATTGCAATAAAACCTATATTATTGTGACAATTTCTCGAATATAGAAATTCATAATTTTTCAAACCCGTCGTGTTATAGATATTTGCAAAAAAACCCTTATAATGCATATTTTTTTAGCACACAACCCGCTAAAATGGCACGTTTTTAGGGGGTAGTTTGCTAACAAAATTGATTTTTTGGGGATATTCGCTAATATTTATGACACGGGGAGTTTTTTTGACAATTAGAGTATATACAGGGGGCTCAACTACATGCGACTAATATAACCCCTTTGCCGCGGCGCCAGCACCGCTAGTA